AAGGTCAAACTGTAAAATAAAATTGTCAAAGTGTTTATTTTTTAAATTTAATTTGGATAAATACCAATGCATTAAGATTTTAAGAGAAAGAAAACAGAATATTATATCTTATTGAACTCGTTGAGTATTTTGATGATGATTTCCGTAAATTATCTTCAAAAATTCTCATTTATAACTAGTATAGTATTGTAATGTAGGAAACTAGAAGCTATTGTGGCAAGTTTTCAGCCTTATCATTTTTGAGCATAATATCCTATATTTGCAGTTAGGATGTGAAAGTTAAACCATGTCAAGATAGTTTATAAAGATGAAAAAATTTAATCAATAAGTAATTACATTCAACGGTTATGCTACAAGGTCAACTCAATAGCACATTCTGTCATTTATTGTTTCTATAGTGATTTGAACTACTCTCAAATCTTTAAATGTGCCTCTTCATTTTTTGAACTTCGTTATGAAACAAGATGTCCTTCAGGTTTTGGGGGAATTTTTCCTAAACAACTAGCCCTCTAGTCTGGGTTGAATTTCTGGTTTTTGTACACTCATGGAGTTCCCTGTACATGTTTCAAAAATGGCACTTAATTAAAATAATTATAATAACCTTTTGACTTCTTTGTTTTTTCATTTCATTTTAAATCCTATGAAGCCATGACTGGTATATTATTTATCTCTAGTACCCATTAGTACAGAATAAATATAAATACTTTTTCTTAAATAATAAAAATACTTCCATATTCAAAATTGCATTAAAATATTATTCTAGTAGGAATAGCAATATTAGCTAAATGATGAGATGCTAACACTATATTTTGTGTCTTCTATTACAGGCTCTTAAATCTGATCTACAATGGAAAAATTTCTTTTTTATTTGTTTTTCATTGGCATAGCAGTGAGAGCTCAGATCTGTCCAAAGCGTTGTGTCTGTCAAATTTTGTCTCCTAATCTTGCAACCCTTTGTGCCAAGAAAGGGCTTTTATTTGTTCCACCAAACATTGACAGAAGAACTGTGGAACTGCGGTTGGCAGACAATTTTGTTACAAATATTAAAAGGAAAGATTTTGCCAACATGACTAGCTTGGTGGACCTGACACTATCCAGGAATACAATAAGTTTTATTACACCTCATGCATTTGCTGACCTACGAAATTTGAGGGCTTTGCATTTGAATAGCAACAGATTGACTAAAATTACAAATGATATGTTCAGTGGTCTTTCCAATCTCCATCATTTGATATTGAACAACAATCAGCTGACTTTAATTTCTTCTACAGCATTTGATGATGTATTTGCCCTTGAGGAGCTGGATCTGTCATATAATAATCTAGAAACCATTCCTTGGGATGCTGTTGAGAAGATGGTTAGCTTGCACACCCTTAGTCTGGATCACAATATGATTGACAACATTCCCAAGGGGACTTTCTCCCACTTACACAAGATGACTCGGTTAGACGTAACATCAAATAAATTGCAGAAGCTACCACCTGATCCTCTCTTTCAGCGAGCTCAGGTACTAGCAACCTCAGGAATCATAAGCCCATCTACTTTTGCATTAAGTTTTGGTGGAAACCCTTTGCATTGCAATTGTGAATTGTTGTGGTTGAGGCGTCTGTCCAGAGAAGATGACCTAGAGACCTGTGCTTCTCCTGCACTTTTAACTGGCCGCTACTTTTGGTCAATTCCCGAGGAAGAGTTTTTGTGTGAGCCTCCTCTCATTACACGTCACACGCATGAAATGAGAGTCCTGGAGGGTCAAAGGGCAACACTGAGGTGCAAAGCCAGGGGAGACCCTGAACCTGCAATTCACTGGATTTCCCCTGAAGGGAAGCTTATTTCAAATGCAACAAGATCTCTGGTGTATGATAATGGAACACTTGACATTCTTATAACAACTGTAAAGGATACAGGTGCTTTTACCTGCATTGCTTCCAATCCTGCTGGCGAAGCAACACAAACAGTGGATCTTCATATAATTAAGCTCCCTCACTTACTAAACAGTACAAACCATATACATGAGCCTGATCCCGGTTCTTCAGATATCTCAACTTCTACCAAGTCAGGGTCTAATGCAAGCAGTAGTAATGGTGATACTAAAATGAGTCAAGATAAAATTGTGGTGGCAGAGGCAACATCATCAACGGCACTGCTTAAATTCAATTTTCAAAGAAATATCCCTGGGATACGTATGTTTCAAATCCAGTACAATGGTACTTTTGATGACACCCTTGTTTACAGGTAAGAAAAATTAAGCAACTTTGTTTACTTACCATGCATCTTAATGTAGGGCTTATTAATGGACTACTGATTTTTTTTAATTGACAGTACTTCTGTGTTGTAATTATAGCACTCCATTTTTTAAAATGTATAATGTAAGGTTTGTAAAAGGTGGTGAATACCTGTGGGGAAATATTTTGAATGATGCTGTTTATAGAGAGTTTAAACTTATATTTAATATTATGCTGACTTAACGTTTTGTTCCCCTCATCTAAGAGATGTGACTATCAGAGAACAAGACTGATTTATTTTAAATATTCAAAAACATACCAGAATTTACACATCCACACGAGTGTTCTTTCCTTCAAGGAAGTCACGTTGGGAAGCTATACCGTTATCCCAATGATGCTGCCATTGCTCAAAGCACTTTTGGAATTATCTTTAGAACCTTCATCACACTATTTTGAATATCCTCAGTGGTGGCAAATCTTCGTCTTTTGAGGGTGAATTTGAATTTTGGAAACAAGCAAAAGCCATTTGGAGCCAAGTCTTGTGAATAAGGTGGGTGATCAAAGATGGGTATTGCCATTTATGGTCAAAAATAGGATGTAACTATAAAATAATGAGACTGATTTTCTGAGTGATGAGTATGTGTGGTGTGTGTGTGTGTGTGTGTGTGTGTGCGTGTGTGTGTATGCTCTATCTCATGTGCACCGGTTCTTAAGACAGTTCCAAAGAGAAAGTTTACAAATATTTTGAGCAGTGAAAGTATCACTGGAGTTAAGTATGTAATCTCCAGGCAAGTGTAATGATGGATAATTTGCATCTGTTAAAGAATTTCTGGTATGTTTTTCTAAAGTTCAGCCTCATTGATTTATAGTCACATCTTGTCCAATTTTCAGTTGGAAATACACAGTTTTATTCCTTCATATAATTTCATTTGTTGTAGATTATTTTATTACCCCTAGGAAATAATATAAAATCATGGTTTTGATGGGTTTTTTTTTGGTCTTGAAGCTTTTCAGAAATCAGATCAGTTCAGTTCTTATATACCCAGGTGAATTCTTGAATATAATTTTATTTCACTCACATATGTAAATGAGAGTAATTTTAAAATATAAGCGTGGGCTAGTAGGAAAAAACAAAACTATCGTAGCTGCAATATGATCAATCCTGGGCAAGGTTCTACTTGGCTGAGTTTTAATTTTCTAATTGTTGTAAGGAAGAGATTAGACTAAATATTATGTAATATTCCTCTAATCACTAAATATATGGGGATATATACTACATGTATATTAGCATAAGGTAGTTTGCTTTTGTCATATCAAGCTCTTCACATAATCTCTGTGATATTTAATCTGTTGTCAAGGAAAAGTGCCTATGCCCACCCCTCACCTTTCTGTAGCTGCTGAACTGTCTATATATTTTAAGCATTAGCTCTGTGAAATAAGTCAGGTTTTATTTTCCAAATACCAAGATTTTAATCCTGCAACGATAAGTAAATTTTATGTGACCTTGAATAAATTGCTTGAATCTATGACCCTAATTTTTGTCATATGTGAAATAGTGATAATGCCTGTCTCATAAGATCATTGTAAAGATTAATTGTTAATGTATTTGAAGTTCTTAGTAATACCTGGCATTTGTCACGCACTCTGCTAAATGGTGGTGATTTCAGTCCCAATTATGTAATTATTCTAACTCTGAACTGAAAGTCAGGACACATAGTTTAGGCTCTATTACCAAATTTTGAAATTTCTACAACTCACTTTCAGAGAAGAAAATATGGTTTCAAATCTTTTTTTTCTAATTAATTTTTATTTAGAACATATTTAGTCGCAACTGAAAAAAAAAGTTAGAAAATAGCCATCCACAAAAACCTTTTAGAATGAAATGGATTCATAGATGTCTGCAAACTTTCTTTACATTTTAGAAATTGTGTTCTGATGAAAATTTGAATTAAGACACAGTGGGACAAGGGATTTAAGATCCGGTCAACAACCTTCCCTCGTTCAAATGTCTAGGCTAATATTATTTATGTATGTACTTTTCATCATCTTCATTTATACATAAAAGCATACAGGGGACCAAGTATTAAAGGCGTTAGAAAAGGATGAGTCTGTAAATAAAACACTTCAATATTATTATTTATCTTAATTTTATTAAAGAAAGGTTTAGTGGATACCATTCCAAACAGGCTTAATACTGATTTGGAGAATAAATCCTCTGGAACACTTTTCCATTCTGATTTCTAATGTTCTTGTCAGTGTTTTCACTTCCTTCAAATTGGCTTTTAGTCATAGAGGTGTTGTAAGTGCTAAGTGGATTTGTTTAGTAGTCAGATAATGTCACGCTCACACCTTTCAAAAGCAATTTGTCAAAAATAATTTTTTTAGCAGTGGCTTTTATTTGGAGTTCTACTTTGCCAAGCAATGTAATTAGTAAGCTTGTCAAGGCATAGTACAGGCACCATTATTATAATGTAGACTCCAACAATGAATTTTAGTCATTTTAACTGGGTAAATATAAGATTAGATCATTCTCCCATATTTCATATCTGTTATAAATGTGCTTGTCTTAATGAATACTAAAATGAGACAGAACTAAGGACATAATATAATGACTTTGTGTGTAAATGTTTTATTTTGTTTTAAATATTAACACAAATTCCATTGTCCTTCAGAATGATACCTCCTACGAGCAAAACATTTCTGGTCAATAATCTGGCTGCTGGAACTATGTATGACTTATGTGTCTTGGCCATATATGACGATGGCATCACTTCCCTCACTGCCACAAGAGTCGTGGGTTGCATCCAGTTTACTACGGAACAGGATTATGTGCGTTGCCATTTCATGCAGTCCCAGTTTTTGGGAGGCACCATGATTATTATTATTGGGGGAATAATTGTAGCATCTGTGCTGGTTTTCATCATCATTCTAATGATCCGGTATAAGGTTTGTAACAATAATGGGCAACACAAGGTTACCAAGGTTAGCAATGTTTATTCTCAAACTAATGGGGCTCAGATTCAAGGCTGCAGTGTAACACTGCCCCAGTCCATGTCCAAACAAGCTGTGGGACATGAAGAGAATGCCCAGTGTTGTAAAGCTGCCAGTGACAATGTGATTCAATCTTCAGAAACTTGTTCCAGTCAGGACTCCTCTACCACTACCTCTGCTTTGCCTCCTTCTTGGACTTCAAGCACTTCTGTGTCCCAAAAGCAGAAAAGAAAGACTAGCACAAAGCCAAGTACCGAACCACAGAATGAAGCTGTCACAAATGTTGAGTCCCAAAACACTAACAGGAACAACTCAACTGCATTGCAGTTAGCTAGCCGACCTCCTGATTCCACCACAGAGGAGCCCTCATCTAAAAGAGCACATACAAAGCCAAGTAAGTTTCTCACTTTGCCTGCTGAGAGATCCAGAGCAAGGCACAGGTACTCCCTGAATGGAGAATTAAAAGAATACTATTGTTATATTAACTCACCGAACACATGTGGACTATTTTCTAAAAGAAGCATGTCTATGAATGGGATGTTAATTCAGTCCAACAGTTGTGATGGTCATAGTGGAAAAGCAACTCTTTCAAATTCTGAGTGGATATTGGAAAGCTCTGTGTAATCTATATTTCTTTTAAATGAAAAATCAGTTTGAGAACTCACATGGGCAATTGGAATTTGTAATTCCAGTCTTGTCTCTCTGATACATGGCTAATAGAGCCCAGGTTGTGTATAAATCTTCTAGGGTATATATTTCAACATATGTATATATATATGTTGGAAGGTAACATCAATAAAATGGTTAAGGGGAAAAAAAAGCATGAGATAGCAGCAGTGCCTTTCCCTATGCTAGGACCAACTTCTAGGTTCTGCAACAGCAAATCACAAAATGGAAGCTGTCATAGGAAAAAAAAAAAAGTCTTACATAAAAATGATATTTTCTCCAATTTTACAAAGGACCACCTATGGATAATTGGTATTTTTTAATGAATAGACTGACTATTTTCTTTCAATGGCAATGGTTTTGCCTTTGTTTTTAGGAAAATGTTGTAGAGAAAACCCCATGTTGTTTTGTTATTTAAAACATAATAGTCAATTAGTATACCCAGACAATAATAAAATCAATATCTTTCTAAACAACATCCTTGGTTCAGGTGCCTTAACAGTTCTAAGATATTTCTAATCCATGACACAGTTATTTTCAGTGGAAAGAAGAAAATGGCATTTATTTTTCATTTATCAAAAATTCCAATTAGTTTTAAGTCACAGACCACAATTCCGTATGCATCTACATGGACATATGAAAGTGTTTTCATTCATTTAATACACATTAGCTGAGTGAATGAATTTTATATGGCTCTTAATGCAAGTTAAAGAGGGAGACAAAAATACAAGACTTCTCTTGTATCAAAGGGGTGCTCATTTTTATCACCAACTAAAATTTTAAAAAAAACTAAAAACTTCTAATGGAGTTCTCATTACATTTTTAAGTGATATAAAGTCATTGCTCATTAACCAGATAGTGGCTTTTTTCTTTTTTGCACTATACTTCTGCATTTGAATGTTTCTCTCTTAAAGTAAATGCATTTATTATTCTAACCAAAACCTGTGACAAATTTAATTAAAAATCATGCAGCTCAGTGAGAATGCATGGTTTTACAAAAGAATTTTAAATTTAGTCAGAAAATATTGTTCCTTGATAATATGGTATTCTTGGAAATTCATTATAATCAAGGTCTATAGATAAATGTTCGTATCTACTTGTTGAAAACTTAATTATATGCTAACTTGATATTTTACTGGAGATTCATAAGTGGGGTTAACGTGAAGTGTGTTTTGTTTTGTTTTGAGAATAAGGCTCATGTGAGAACTTAGACACATTACCTTACACAAAAGAACATGAAATTTTAGCCATAATAAGATATACTTTCCTGTCTTGTGTAAATTACTACCTGGGAGTAAGTTAAACACACAGTAAAAGTTTATTAACTCTTTCAGATCACTTGAAATACCATTTAAAGCACAGATGAGGAATGTTGAATCATTAGTTTAGTTTCCGTCTTCTAGAAGCATATAAACATTTATATAAGTTAATTTTAACTTGACAGAGGAACATCTTATCATATGAGATTTATCATGATGTTATTCAGTCGAGTGTAAGATTAAAGCAGTTAGTGATTACGTTCAGTGCCAGTCTTAAAAAAATGTCCCATGGGCTTTTATTATCTTAGGCATTTACTAAATCACTTCTCTGCTCTGCTTCCCTTTCTGAAAAGTTTGTTTTTCACATTTGCAAAGCCTAATCACCATTCATTGTTTAGGTCTCTAGTTCCTGTGACGAGTAAATGAGATCACATGTGTAGGTAATAGTTTATGAAATCTAAGCACTACTCAGAGTGAAGTGTATTTTCAATACTATTACGGTAATACTGGTCTAATCCCAACTAAACATTTTTAATTAACATCAATTACATAATTCTTCACAAGGTGCTGATTGTCAAAAGCCTATTACTTTTCCCTTCCTAGATTTATCAGCACAGTATTAAAAAATCTTGAATATACAAAAGCTTTCAAAATTTAATGCTTAACGAAATGAATCTACAAAGAGAAAATTTTTGGAATTATGAAGGTTGTGATCAAGGATAAAAGGCTCTGAATTCATGCAACATATGGAGCAGCTTAGCATATCTATTCCAATCTATGAAGGAACTTATTTTGTATTTCTCAGTGGCTTGTGTTTGTTAAAATTAATGCCCTGCTTATGTTCCTAATGAAACTTTAATTAAATATCTTTTATTTCTTATAGATATTTAAAACCATGATATCTAAAAATGTGAAATTTATTTTGACTATAGCTATTGAAAATAATTTAATTTTTACTAATTTGATCAGACCATTTTCAGGGTATTTAAACCAAATGCTTGAACAACTTGTTCTTTAAAATGATAGGTGAATTTCTGACCTGTGTTTGTCTTTTAAAAAGTTTATATTTTGAGAAATTAACAAAATATGGTCTTATTAAGATGGTAAAATGGTTTTTGTATTTGTTTATAAATATATGAAGAATTATTTGCATAGAGCAGTTGCAGTATGAAATGACTGAAAAATAAATCTGTGGGAAAATTGGGGATAATATTACTTATTATAATGTCTGAAACACAATAGTTGCTTAGATGAGTGAATGAGTAAATTAATAGATAGTCAGCAAGAGAGGTGTGGAAATGAAAATTTTGATTAATTAGCACAATAGAGATTTGTGATCTGGATATTATATTATAAGGTAGAAATTCTCTGTCGTTTTCTTGTTTTTCTTTCTGCCATTTATTGAATTTATCATTTAAACAGCCATGTATATGTGATCTGAAGCATGTGGTTTGTTGTTTGTTGTTGCTGACTATATGCAGATTATATATATCATTTTTACTCCCTTGTTCTTAATTTTTTTTTCATTTTAGCCATGTTACATTATGGTTTCAGCATGTTCAATGTGAAAACAAACTAACAAAGTACTATGTTAGCATAGCTATTCCAAGCATGTTTTAAGCATGTTTTAAAAGGTATTTTCTTCAAACATTTTTTTAAAAAGCGTGTTCTTGTATTGTTTTTGTTCCTTTTGAATAACTGTCCCCTAATTTAACATACCAAACTGCTATTTATTACAGGAGCATCATAGAGGGATAATGAAGATTTAAAGCTACCTCAAAATTCTAAGAAGCAGCAAATTTTAGTTTGATGAATATTATTTATATTTAGTCTAAAAATATACAAATATATTAAATACAATTTAAATTAGATACAGTAAGACCCACATTGTGGCCAATTTATGTCCTATTTTTTATTTTCAACCATGAATGGAGTCAGTGGAGTTCCAAATAAGCTATTTTATCTTTAAAACAGATGATTTTACTTGGTTTTAAAATATATTTTACCTGGTAAATATATTTTATTTTAAAAAGTTTTACAATGTAAGTTTTAAATTATTTTGACAAATCCCTAAATATAACAAGTCTAATCTTTGAAAGATGCATACTTTCTCCACAAATTTTTAAAGAATTTTAAAAAATTAAATATATTATTTTTATGTACAGGAATTTTTTATCTTTAATTTTTTTATAAATAATATTCTCTTCAATTGAAATCACTCATAAAGCACTTGCTTCTAATATAAATTTTAATTATTTTATTTGATTATAATTATGAGAAAGAACTATTTCATTTATAAACCTAAAAAATTTAAGAGTAATTTTCACAAAGTTGACATCAATTTCCTTCTAGTTCCTAAATTTAAGTATTTCCCTTCTGTTTATTTAGAGTTATAAACAAACTTTAAAATGTCAATAATTTAAAAAATTCACAAAATAAAGCATCTTCTTGTGGGTAGAATTGTGCAAATGAGCCCTTTCTTCTAAGAAGACAGTAGATACAAGCCCATTGTCTTTTTGGTTTGGTTGATTTCCAATTGAATTTTATAATGCTAAGAAAATAATATTCATTTATATTAGACAGAATAAAGACTGTATATTTTCTTTCCCTTGCTCAACCATCCCTTGTGCCTCAAGAACAATGATTCCACCTTAAAAATATCAGCTTTTGCTGAGAGTGTATTTAAGTGTTTGGGGGAAAGGACTTGATACAGAGGTGGGTTGAATGTGAAAAGGATATTTTTTTTTTATCCTCCTAGGTTGCTAATATTAATAACCCTAATAATATATCCTATAATGCTAGTTACTTGTAATTAAATATATGGAAAAGAAATATGTCATTTTAGCAATGGCATAGAGAAAAGAAGGAATAATCAAAATAAATAACTAGATTTTTAAAAATTTCAAAGGACAGGTTACTCAGTTCTTTCCTTCCCATGCTAGATAAATATATGCTGGGATTATATATGTAATTAGTTTTTTCAGGTCTTTCTTTTTTGTCTCTTATTTATTTATTTTTTAATTTCTTTTGGAACAGAAATCAATCCTCCTTGCAGCAGTACAGAAGACCACCTAACATAAAAAGTGGTAAACATATCACTGTGATTGAATCATCCTAAAAATGTGGTTTTATTTGAAGTGAGACATAGAAAAATATCAGTTTATAACTGGGAATATATTTAAGTATTAATTACCTCATTAAGGTAACGTGAATGCATTTGCAGTTTTATCAAATTATGCAAATAATCAATATAATCACCATACTATTGTCTTCTGATTATGTTCAGGTATTAGAAAGTCTAAATTGAAGATATAAAGTTAACATGGAATAAATTTATATGCTGTATATAGTTATACACGTATATATGTACTATATAAATATCTATATATGTACCATATAGATGCATAAAACTCTATACTCATAAAATTAATCAGTTAAAATCATAATTTTGTGTCCTGCAATATGGATTGTTATTAATGTAAGAATTAAGATTGAATGGATGGGGTGTCACAAAACCTGTAAAATTACACTTGTTATTTATCAAATAACAATGGAATATAAAATCTCAGTGCAAATTTATTTTTTTAATTTTTTAAATTTCCTAATGATAACCATTTCTACAACCTGTCAAAATTCATGTGTTCATTTCAAATTACTGTTATGTTCATGAATTTAAAAAAAACAAAAACAAACTATTTTCAAATACATTCAGGAGAAAGCCATGGAGAACCTTTCATTTAAAGTAATTGTGTTTTCAAGTGGTTGTATATTTAATCTTACCTGACACATAGGCTATGTAGATATTGTGTTTTTGCTCTAGAGTATGTCTAATAAATAATTAATTGAGTAAAGTCAAGGAGATTATGAAATATCCTATGTTGGCTCTGCCATAATGCAATTCCCTAATCATTTTTTTCTCCATGATGTGAGTATGTCATATTATTACTTTCAGGTAAAAGCTAATCTCTAGAGGCCATTGTAAATTTACATGAAAATTTCTTCTGGAGGTTTTGTAAAAATATTTTGTCCTAGAGTCATTGTACTCATATGTGAACCTTGAAAATGAACTTTCCCTTAGACACCTAGTTTTCTCTTATCATGTGTCACTTCTAAATAATTAGAAATATTTGCTTAAGCAGAAAAAATTTTGGAAAGAAATAGAATGCGTGCTATGCAAGCTTATGTAATGGTATTAAACATTTATAGATAAATGGAGCACACGTATAGACATTTAAAAGCAGAATGTTTGTATTTAGAATGTTGCTGTTTTACATAAGGATGAATGGGTACTTGGTAAATGCACTATTTGAGGAGTGAGTATTGAATGATGATTAATATTACAAGTGATTATTTTATACTCCATGCAGTGAATATGTTTAAACTATATTTTATTATGTGGATTCTTGTTTCCTTGATATATTTTTCCATATTAATCATATGAAACTATATAGTTGAAGTGTAAACTGTGAGTAGGGAAAATGAATGGAAACCTAATTAGCTTATTTTGAGTCAGGCAGGAATAGTATATTCCACATTGAAAATCACTCATTTTAGTTACTAGGACAATGTTTTTTTAAATTCTCCTTTTAACTTTTATGTATCAGGAATTAGTCATAGACAACTAAGAAATAATAGTCAAGGGCAAGTAACTTAAGAACTGGTAAGTTAAAAAAAATAGTTTAGATGAATCTTTGTTAATTCTTGGTAGGACTCTTACCAAAATTTCATTGAAAAGTGATTTAGAATCTGTTTCTTAAAAAATAAAAATAAATTGTTCATGACACTGAAAATTTTATTCCCAGATGCTTTGCTGACTAATGTTGACCAGATTGTCCAGGAAACGCAGGTGAGATTATTACCTGTTACATACTGCAACACAAATGCATATATTCTTTTATAAATGGATTTTTAAGTTTTGGTCTGCTAGTTTATGTAACTTGTTGAAATTTTCCATTAAAAGATACTTGGAATGTTCAACAGTGCAGACTGAGGTTAAGTTTGTTTAAGTGAATGTCCAATTTTTAAATTTAGACATATTTCATGTTAGCTAAACTTTCTGATTCATAATGTAAGAAATAAAAGTAATGCTAATAATGCTAGATGGAACTTTGGGGTCACTCTTATAATCACTCTTATATGACATAATGTGCATTTTTACAAATCTTTCCAAACATGAAGACAACAGCTTGATGGGAATGTAT